AACTGGACGTTGCGATTGAAAGGGTTAATCCAGCCCTGCGCAGGGATAGAGCAGGCAAATTGGAAAGGACGGGGGCAAAATTCACCCGGGCAACGCCGGGTACCTCTGCTAGTTACTTATATATCGTGCCAAATGTATTACGGATTCTACTGAGAGATTCATTAGAGCGTGTTTCAGTGCTCTCTCTTCGCTCTAGTATCCAGTAAGACGTATTTCTTACAATATTTCTTTCAGTATCGCTGGAAAAAGAAACGCTTTGGCATTATTATAAAGTAATTTCCATGGAATTTCTGGTTAGTTACTTCTAGTGGTGGTTCATGCTGAGCATGGCGAAGTGAAACTAATCACAGTCCATTATTCCGGGTATGAAATTATAATGAAGTCAGGATGAATACTTACATAAAAGTAGAATCAGAAGTTAAATCAGCAATAAAGGAAAATTCCATATTAGCACATGACAGGATGAGTGATATCATTTCTATTAGGTTGTAAAGGTGAAATTTAGACATTTTCCAGAAAACAATTTATTGCCAATTAACTCAACAACGACTAGAGTGCAGTCTTGCGTCAATGTATCTGTTGTAGATTCACGATAAGCACTCACGCCCACAATGCCCACTGGTCCACTCTACACCTACATAGAAAGTTCTAACATTTTCCAGATTTTTTTAAAGAAAAATTCTAAATGTCTAAATTTCACCTTTACAACCTGATAATTAAGGAACCTTCTAAAAAATTAGTGTGTCGACCACCAATAGTTTTTAGTTGACACGTACCTGAGCCTATTTTCGATCATCACTAGGAGACGTTTCTCTCACACTTATTCGAACCCGGCTCATAATCGGACATGTCCAATTGGTCCTTCATAGTGCTAACCTCTGCTCACGTTTGGACATCCACACATGCCCGCAAATTACACAGTGATGAACTGACTTTTCAAGAAGCAGATAATATATTTAAGCAAACGAAATTTCAGCTATTACACAATGCGGATCATTATGCAAGCCTTTTGAAAAAACCCACCTCATCTCTCAAATACCCTTCATCTCCACCTTGGCGAGATACAAGTACTACGTTAGTATGGTGTTTCTTCTATCCAGTCCAAAAATCGTTATCCCTGTCACGACCAGACTCGTTGAATGCTTCTTAATAGTCCTACTGCTTCCATACTGTTAGGAACAAATTAATTATCGCTAGATAATTAACTTGTTTAGATACAGGATATCTATCTTCATTTCAGTAGTTGTCTCTATTTTATGTCGTTAAAACTCTCCATCTCATGAATACGTGATCATTAAACCTAAGCAAGTGTGGTGCATTGGTATTTGGCCTGCTCTCGTAGTTGCATAGAATTAATTATTTATTCAACATTAGCAGGATAGTCAGTGAATAATGAACAATGATGCTGTCATATATCAAAAGCCAACAATGACCACCACCATCACACCACGAATGACCTTGCGAATGGCTTATCGTCCTCTCAACGCCATCTCATTCCTGGATATTATCATGACTGATGAGATAGGCAGGAGATACGTTTTCAATGTAAAAAAGTCACAAGTTTCCCAAATTAGATTTTGAGTAATAACTCTTGAATTGTTTTGAACGTCTCCTTACTAGTACTCTTGAAACGTTTAATTGACTCGGTTTTGGAAAAGAAGTGTTCATGGGTGAGGTGAGGTAAGCTTTAGGTTTCCTACCACGCCAGTTGTCATGTTAGCTATTGATATCAGAAGATATCCATCGGATATCTTCTCATTAACAGAAAGCAGGGTGCCTTGGAATGGAACTTGTTGCGCAAAGTTAAGAAAAAAGACTTCAACTGACCGTCTTGAATTCGAGTCTGTATCCCCTGGATAGTCACTTCATGAGCTTGCCTCTCTCTCAGGACTTGATTGCTCAGCTGTACGCTAACAGGTTTGGATTTCTGGAACTTGAGGAAGAAGTCATAAAAATGTTTCCTTCCAAGTTTCCAAAACATGGAACTAAACTGATAATCCCAAGATTTGCTCTCCTCATTGGGTGCGAACAAAGCTGAATTGTTGAAACAAAAGAAATCCACAAAAGGTACTTTCCCTTCTGTTGCTGCTTGGAGAACTGGAGGAGTCTTGGTGTCAGCGAATGTAATCATTAGGTAAATGTTGTTGACGACATCCTTTCCAAAAACAGATAGAATAGAATCGATTATATATTCATCAGTTGGGGTCAACCTGGCGTTGGAGGCCTGAAGCACGAAGCCTATGCCATTAATGTGACTCAGACCTTCTGCTTTCTTTTTGGCGAATAATTTATGTAGTTGGGTCATGGTGCTGTTGTCCTCCATTAATCCCTTAGTAACTCCAAATCCGGGAGTGTCTACTACAGTGAGGTTGTAGGGTGCTTCGCATCCCTCTTGCCAGGGAAAGGTGTAGGCTGTGATCCAGGACGTCTGACTCTGAGCCTTGGGTTTTTCCCTTTCAGTGTCTGGGATCAATACCAGGCGGAAGGGGTCCTCCCTCTGCACTCCGTAAAACTGATTGAAAAGTGCGTTCACTAGAGTGCTCTTACCTGTAAGAAAAGGTTCCTAATATAATCTTGACTCTTTTTGTGATATTTCTTTGAAAGAAATCGTTACCGTACCTGCTCCAGTGGCACCAAGGAGAATGATAACTTTTTCTTCCCTCTCCTCATGTATTTCTTCGAAATGAATTTCACACTTGGCCGTCCGGCTGTCTGGATCTCTCATTACGTCCAATGCGACGATTTCATACAAAGAAGGTTCTCCAGGTCGACTGAGTTTTCCCTTTGCCTTTAAGTACCATGCTGGCTTTAATGCTCTGGGAGGAGAGATACATGCAACCTCAACTTTTCCTTTGTCCTGGTGATCATACATTGCATATTGATGTAGAAACCCATTAGATATAACTCCGTCCAAGACGGAAGGTTGAAGATAGTTGGAAATAGGTAGGAAATCGCTTGGGTACATGCTCCGCTGTTGCATTTGGGGTATGAGATAATCCCAGCTGGTAACAGGACTGCAAGGTCCACTTCCAAGAAAACTGGAAGCACTCACCTGCACAAGGCAATCGGTTGATATACTGAGTTAATTTCATTCTTCCGCAAACATGTCAAGCTAGTAAAGACAGATTGAACTCACCTTGAATAAATACCTTCGTCCAGGAGCTGGCAATGGGAATCTGCTTGGCGACGAAGGATGTAGGATATATTTCCAACTCTCTGGCGGATCGCTCTCAGCCTTGAACCAGACGAGGAACCCACTGAGGTAGTTCCGTCCAATGAATGGCCATTTCCAATGCACTGCAATGCCAGTTCCAACAGGCGAAACCTGAAACCTTACATCGAAAGGCTCTCCTGGAGGGATAAATACTTGTGTAGTAGTTCCTCTAGATTTTCTTAGCATGATCGTCCAGGCTTCGACTTCAGCCCCTTCTGCCGCAACAAATTTTATAGCAGGGTTCCCCCGAGCTCTTGCATAATGGAGAAATAGGTGTTGGTATTCGAACAATTGGTGCAGTTGTCCGGGAGAACCATATTCAGAAGGCACTGGTACGGAGAGGACTGCTTCTTGGCGGCACCCCATACACTTTTTCAGGCTAGCAAGGAAGGGATCTGCATAATCAGATGCTCTGAAGAAGAAGCAAATTACAGGCGCGCCTTCGTTGCCTTGAAATGCAAGTGATGCATTTCGAATTTCTACACCCGCCTCCAAGAAGTTTTGCACAAGAATATCAGCATTTCTGGCTTCGATATCCTTCGTCCTCAACCAAGCTTGAAGCTGATTGGGATTGAATAGAGGACTGTAGAACGTGGCTGCGAGGGATGAGTCTTGATCCAGGCGTTGCAGTGCTTCTTCTATGACGCCTTCAAAAGCTATGATGGAATGGGTTGCTGCTTTGAACCTGATACTTTCTCGGATGTTCCTCGCTTTGGCCACGATTTCACGCAACCGTGTGACTAGATCTCCCATCTTACAAATGCAACACGACCTGCATATGGAATATTTATTAAAAGCAATAAGTATAATTACTTCCCCCCCTGAGACTTAAAAGCTGATACAAAGATTAATGCTGCTGTGAACCAATATTTTAAAATACTCCTGGTCTTTCTCTTTCCTTGAAGCGCTACAACAATTAAGGTGGAGTTCAAATTGAACCTACACGTTTTCAATCCTTTGTTTAGTCGTTTCGTCATTTGCCAACGTTAACAAGTTATACTACAGACTCTGTAGGACATAACTTTTTCTTTATTTTCATGTCCATATTTACAGACATCACAACAACCGAAGCAAAAACAGACACTGTGCCCTCCTATATGTTTTCTTCCGGCATGATATCCACGAACCTCCGGAGCAACCACAATTCTTCATCGGAACGTTACTCCGACTTTAGCTCCCGAATAAGTGTGTCAAACGCGATCGTGTCAGGTAAAGCTCATATATAGATGCAACATGAATTTTGTTCATGTCCAGGCGGAGTGTGCAGGACAATATGTTCCATGCACGAGGCGGTGGCTAATTTATTATTTCCGTAGTAAATAATGATTCCATGTACCATGTTCTCTCATTATTTGGTAGTATTTGGCGGTATTTTTCTCGAATGTTTTAATTTTTCTTGTTCCTGCGCGTGGGAGTCATTGCTTTGCGATATATAAGTTGCTGTAAAAAGTCGTATTCCTTTACAGACTTCAAACATGTAATGAATGAACATATCAATGCTCTATATTTTCTCGGCATTTGGAGATTTTCACAAAATCTTGGAAGTATAATATGAAATACTGATAGAAAAGTCAGGCGGCCTTTGCATGTCTTATGAACACTGTGTACACCCAACTTTGCTATGTGAACGAAACTACTACTAAGCCTTCAAACTATAGTCATGGGTGTTACAAATGTGTAAGTGTTCCGGAATCATCCAGAGTCACCATGCTCTTGTTCCTTACACCTGCTAAGTGCTTTTCATAAAGCCGTCGACAATGCGTCCTTCTTTCTTGAACGTGTCTCTGGGAGAAGCTTGTGAACTTTACGTTTCCTGCGGGTCCCAAGGCACGGATGTTCATGAAAGATTTGATTGACGCATCCGAGGCTTTTTCCCAGGTTTCTTGTCATCGCACTTTGGGACTTTAGATTTTTGCCAATGACCATATCAGGACATTCTTGATCATTTGCTTTGATCTGGCATGTTGACTAGATCAGGATGGCAAATATGAGCTGCCAGCCCCTTCCCACCAATGTTGCCAATCACGTTGGGTATCAATCCAATTGAATTGGACGGATGACAATTTCGACTTATTTCGTCAAAGGGTTTCATTGCAGAATGAATTCTTTCACAGGTCTTGAAAGTCATTTGCAAAAAGTAAGCTCAATAATGGTGCTAGATCGATTGTTTCATTTGAAGGCAAGAATGCCGTTACATGAGAGGAAAGTGTTCAATTGAGGCATGAATAGGTCTCGTATTTACGTATTGTGCACCTTCGATCGGATGGTTCAGCGGTGTCGCACTGGAACTAAATAGTCCTGCTAAAGAATTTCCTACTTCGACTTTTGCCTAGTAACATTGGAAAGCCATTGCAGGTGATGCATATGCAACCTACTTTTCCTATCTGAGACACGATTGCATAATATAGCAATTAAGAACGAGTGTAAACAGCTGAAAGTAAACAGCTGCACGAGAAAAGCGCAGTATTCAAGTTCATCCTCAATAAGAGCATTATCTGTGGATATGAAGGTGTAATCATATTTGCCAGAAGCAATGAAACTGATACGTACTCTTATTACATGACATGCGCATATCTGGTCATTTGATTCCATGATTTCTGCAACTCTTACCTAAGTAAGAATGCTTAATTGATTGTCCTGTTAAAAATGGGAACGTGTCAATATCACATGCCACTATTCCTGCTCATCTACTCGTATGCAACAAAGGAGCAAACTGTCTCTTTTTTGGATGCATGGCCACGGATAATTTACGCTCACCTCTTAGGAGTCCTGAATGAAGCACATGAACTCGGCCATGAATAAATTTTCTTATTCCGACGCACTCAGTCCACGAATGTGATATGGAACTGCGGGGGGACAGGCAGGATCTGAGCACTACAAGAGCACCTGTAGTGCTCAGATAAGATTATGCATGCCTCTTTGCTAGCATTCGAGGAATCGGAACTGAGGAGAGAGCACAGATGATGAAAGCCCTGTTCCATGGGTAAGGCTTCGGCATGCGATGGTACATTTTCTTTCATTCATAAAATGTCTCTACGCGTGGGTTCTTGAGATTTGTGAGCGGTGTCTTTTAGCTCCCCAACTGTATTTGCCAAGTAGACATGACCAGAACTGGGTGCAAGGTTGTGGTCGGACTTGGCCACTACTTCATTTCTCGCGTACATCCTACCCTTAAAGCTTCGGAACTCACATTGCCATGTTATCTTCCTCTGGTGGTTAGAGATTGAGGTTATAACTCCAACCTCCAACCACCACCTTCCCCCCTTGTATAAGGAACTCACTTACTTTAGGCCTATGCCAAACCGACTTACGATATTCAGGTCAGGCTTTTTACCGCTGAAAAGAAACTCATTCCTCGATCTACGGATCCTTTAGGCATACAAGGATTAACCGTTGGTCTTCGAGGCACCTCGTTGAGGAATTGTAACGTTAGGGCAATCGCAGGCCTATGCAGCCTATGCGGATATTGTATCAAAATTGATTCAATGTCAATGCAATATCCGGATGTTGAATCAACGTTGAATCCATGTTGTTTCAATGTTATGTGCTACTCGGATAACGTTAGACCGAATGTAGGACTTTTTCGAGTTTTATTAACCATTTCAGAGCTGTGTGGGAAAATTAGGCCAATGCAGGGTTCTTCGTACAGTCTCGACTCGTTTCGAGAAAAAGGTTCCCCCTAGAAATCTTGACAAAAACTAGCCGCCATCATGTTAATCTAGGGATGTATGTATGAGATATCTCCATATTCTAAAAAAATTCATCGGCCACTGCAAACCACCGCTTCAATCTTATCCCATAAAATCAGAACAATAATATCTACTATATTAAAAAGAGAATATCCAGAAAACCATACTAAGGCCGAAGGAATCATGAATCGCACATAACTCCGGCACAATATTCGGCAACGCTGGAGAACGGGACCAGAGCCATCATTTAGCCTAAATTAACGGTGTCTAAATCACATATTTTATAGCGAAATGCTATATTGGAAGCAAAAATATCGCAATCGGAAAGCTGCGGAGACGAAACTGGAAACATAATCACACAATTGTGATGCACGTGTCAGCTTCAGGAATCAAGCTGATGCATGCATCAAGTTGATCCATGATAGGCATCCCGATTACCCTCAATGGATCTAAGCCCCTAAAAACTTGCTGAAATATTCTCCACGGAGCCCATATTGCCACTACCTCGCAATTAAGCGCGATTAAATGATTAAATGGCTTAAATTACAGAGACAAATAAACTGACGCATTCAATGGAGCCACTTTAAACCCTAATTCCTCTGGATCTTCCCAACTTTTCTCCTCATAGTGTCATCTTATGATCTCGAAATTTTGACTGCTATTTTGCACATCATCAGGAGGTTTCCGCTAACGTTTCATCAGTAAAAACATAGTTAACCGTTTCGGGGAATTAATATGATGCCATAGCCGCTAATGAAATTAGATTAATTGGTAAGTTTTCTCTATCAATATTGATTACACACATATCAAACACAATCAGTATTTCTATAACAACAATTTACACTCCTAGAGTTCTTTGACACTCGTAACGAACATAATCCTCCTGTCGTGGATGCGCACGATAGGTAGTTTCCCCATTATTGAATTTTCTCTTTGAGGACCATACTTTTTGGGAGAGTTTTTCTGGCAAGGTTTATATATTTCCTTAGTTAATTTAAACCGGCACTGCCATAGATATTGATTGAGATACCGAGCTTTGATGCAATGATCATAACGCCACTTTAAACTAGAGCAGGTCTTGGAAGGCGCATGTGCTAGATGTCGCTAGCGAGCCCCGTTGAATAGTAGGCGTACATGAAGCAAAAACTTGAATTCCCAACTCGAAATGAAATTGCCAAGGGAGCCTCACGTGATCCTAGAATGAAGTTCAAGTTTCTTGACTCGGGGCCTTAAAGGACATCAGACCCCGTCAATGATGGCTTCACTAGGTCCCTAGGGAGGCCCCCTAGGGCTTCGCGAGGAAGTCCGGGGGATTACTCGTAGGTTTTAATATCATGGGGAACATCATTTCCCTTCCTTTTCCTTTCCCTTTCCCCTCTCCTCGACCAGCGACCAGGAGAACCGTTTATAGGGGAGTAGGAATGGTCCCCCCTACTCCTTAACTCGGTATTAACTGATCGTTACCACCGACTTTCCTGTCTTGAAGGCTCCACGACCAGGAAGGAAAGTAGTGGAATCCAGGCATGACCGAAGTCCTGATGAGGTATGTGATGATGGCAGTGTTGAGAGGCACGACTGAATGTCCCGGATGGGTATAGTCCCATTGTGGACATTAGTCCCATATACAGGATGGCGCCAAAAAACTGGTTCACGTTTTAAACTGGTTTAGAACAGGAACTATTGAAGCTTACTTTTACAAACGCTTACACTTACAGCTTACATTTACCCTGTTTCCAAATGTTTCCTTGCTCATTTGTTGGGTGGAACAATTGGACTAAAAGTCCAATTGCTGTAAGATTGCCAAGGAACTTTTGATGTGGAGAGAGAGACTGCAAGCAGTGGTGGACCATAAAGGAGGACACATTGAACATTTCTTGAATAAATAAAGGTTAGTTGAGGTGGAACAATCATTTCCCCATCATTTTACTACTTTTTTGGGGAATGGTTTTTTCAATTGGCCATGACAACCATTCCATGGCACCCATGGACATAAAACCTTAAATCTTTCGAAAGGGCTTGGATTGAACTTTCACTTGCTTTTTTTTTTAACCTGCTAGCTTCATT